GAGCTTTTTACCTGCCTGCAGACAGAAGCTGGCTGAAAAAGATGAGGTGCTCCAGTGGAGCTCATCTGCAGAGATGCCTCCAAAGCCAATATGCTGTAACACAGTGTTGCTGGATATTTATCCCAGCTCTGAGCCAGGCATTTCAGAGCTGCCTTGTTCATAATAACACCTCAGCACATGTGCTGGCTCTCCTGCTCATGTCTCTGCAGAGTGATCACACTGTGTGCCCTTCACGCCCTCTACAGCTTGCTATTCTTTTCCCCTCAGTTAAGGAGCTTTATTCACAGGTAAAAATACCACACGTAAGTTCACATGCACTTAAAAGCTCATCAGCACGGGCACCTGCCCTTCCCCGTGCGTCGGGGGCAGGTGGGACACAGCCTAGCTGCAGGTGGGTGCCAGGAGAAGACTTGCTCTGACACCAGCAGTCACCAGCCTGGGCTGGGAGGCTGAAGGCCACAGCAGTTTCAGCCATGGCTTCCAGTGCCTGGAGCCACACAGGGCAGTCAGCAAAGCCCTGCAGTGCCGGGCAAGCTGCACCCAGGAGGGCCCGCGCCAATGCTCCTTTTGCCTCCACGCGCCACAGATGCGGTGGGGCTTGGTTTGTGAAATGCAATGGCCACAACTCATGACGCCAGCCTCCCCAGCCCGCAGACAACACCTGGGAAAGCATCCATCAGACAGACAAGTGAGTGCAGGGCTGGGTGGGCCGAGCTGTCCTGTTGGCAGCCAGTGCCAGGGTGCAAGCGCAGCCCCCACCCCACTCACCTGCTCAACCGAGCGACGACCTCCCGAGCACGGGCTGACCCTCCGAGGGCTGAGCAGACCTGTCCACAGTGCTCCCTTCTCCCTCTGGCTGGCACTACGCAGCTCCGGACCAGGAGGGTGCCCGGTTAGATGGTCCCACTGGCACTTTGCTCCATGGTGAACACGCGGTCAGGCGGGCACAGGGCAATGTCCTTGGGAATCCAGCGCCCGTCGGGCCACCCCGCTCCCTCTTTTGGGGCAACCGTGTCCTCTCTGGAGGGTTAATCCCCCTCTCAGCCTGTTTTCCTCCGACTCCAATGCTGCCCAGCAAAGCCACCTGTGGGGGGTGGGGGGGACGCCCCACGCAGGGGGTCCCCTTCACCTACTGTGGGTGCAGGTAGTGCCTGCCCCACAGCACTCCCAGCGTGGATGTGGGTCAGCAGCTGCTTATGGTTTCAGGTCGGCAGAGACTGGCGGGTGCTGAGCGGGCAGAAAGCACTTCTCCACTTTTAAGAGGCTTTTCCAGCCAATGGGGAGGAGGTGGCTGCCTGCCGTGGCCCGAATCCCCGAGTAATCCCGCTGCCCAGGGGCTCCTTGCCTTTCCCTCCAGCAGGGCAGGGTGGCAGGGGGCAGATTTGGAGGGGCTGAGGCAGGAGGAAGCCAGGGGAAAGTTGGGGGTGCTGGTGATGGCTCCAGCCAGGAGGGAGGGGTGCTGGAGAGGGGAGCAGAGGGGCATGAGAGCAAGAGTCCCTGTTTCAGTAAGGGGCACAATGGGGAGGGGGCTGCTTTCCAAACCCCCCACCACTTCCTCTGTCACCAGCCAGAAGGATGGAGAGGTGCTGGCCTGGTCCCACCGGGCACATGCCCAGCAGAGAGCAAAGGCAAGGTGGAGCAGATGAAGAATCACTGCTGTCCGTGGCTCAAAGGGCAGGCTCCAGCCCACCCCTGGCAGCTCACCAACCACCCCCCGCAAAAATGAAATCCCTCAGCAGCTGCTGCCCGGGAAGGGGCTCTGGTAGGTGCCAGGGG